GAGAGAGAGAGAGAGAGAGAGAGAGAGAGAGAGAGAGAGAGAGAGAGAGAGAGAGAGAGAGAGAGAGAGAGAGAGAGAGAGAGAGAGATTTATGTCCACATCGCAGCTCGCATACATGCACACCTTGCCTGCCATCTATTTATCATTCTCGCCTTGATCAGGCTTTGGTGTTGGGTTTGAACACATCCCAAATTTCGTGATACCACCCGACGTCCCATCACAGAGAGAGAGAGGTAGAGGGGGAGAGAGAGACATTTGTTATGATTATGGTTGTCCGTTGTCAGAAGACCAACACTCACTCCCATAGACTTCCAGGTATGCCCATACATACACAGAAGGAAGGGGAGAGGATAGGAGTATCACACCACACAGGGAGAGATAAACATAGCGGAAGACTTGACCATGTGATATGATAGGATACAATGAAAGTGCGATTCACTCCACTCAATCCTCACAACCAGTCATAAAGAAAAGCCGAGTAGATCACATCCAGGAAACAATGAAATGATTATAGTCCAAACTCAGTATCACACCGTTTATTAAACTCAGAGTCTCGAATTGTCAGGATAAAGAACTACAGTGCGCTGCTCAGGAGTGCGCAACGCTTCACTCCCCAACCCTGAGTAACCACTCGTAACACCCCTGAGCCCCTGAAACATCAAGCGCCACCCAAGTACTGCCTCTAGAGGACAGCGCCACACTAAAACAGGCCTCTGAGGCCAAGCGCCACTCAAAGGGTGAAGAAGAAGACCATCGCCAGAATATATGATGATGTCGAAGTGTCGAAAGACTTCCCAGGTGGAAGTCTGCAGTAGCGCCACCGCTCCTTATAAGATGACCTCTTAGGAAAAAGTTGCAGCTATGGCTGCAGCGCCACAACCCTGTGACCCCACTCCGGAGGAGGGTCCAGCAGGGCACCAACTTCCCTCGCCTCCAATAGACCTCGATAACCCAAACCTCTGACAGCCCCGCGTGCTGACAGAGTACAGCGCAAGTCCCAGCTATGGCCGGTGCTCCCTAGGTCAAGCTATGTCTGTCTCCCACAACGCTGAGCCGTCATCACCTCCGGTTCACACGTAGCGCAGCAGCGATGTGCTCGGTACCAACTGCCAAAAGCCCTGAATCGATGTGCCTAACCTATCTATAGATTACTCTAGCCTAGAATCGACCTAGACCGGACTGACTGACTGACCGGTACCGATTCTGTTTCGGCCTCTAGGGCCTCTCCTAACCCGGCTATAGGCTATAGGACCGTCTATCAGCTTAGGCCCATAGGGCCTGTCTGTCCTAGGGGTAGCCCGGGTCTGCTATTCGCAGTTAGGGTAGCTGTAGGAAATTCAGTTAGTACGGGCCTGTATTTTCCCGAATTTACAGATATGTCCTCCTTACAGGCAGGTCACTCGGTTAGCCCTCAGCCAAACAAAATTACGAATCTGTCCTACCTACGGTACAACCTCGACAGAGAGAGGCTACAGGCGACCAGAAAACAGCAAGTCATTGCAGACCTACCCTCCCCCGGATCGAGGACCTCCGAGCTAGGGGCGTAGGCATGCAGAGCGTCGAAGGGATTCTCCCTTCTATGCTGCCTCATATCTGAGGATAATAGACTTTGCGGTTTTCGTAAGTTTCTTGCGAGTAAACCAGTGATCTTTGGTGTGTGGCTGGTATAGGAACTTCACAAGGTACTCCTTCTCTGGACCTGTACCTGACTCATCCTCAACGAATTCCACCTCATATCCCTTATCAGGGATCGGGGGACCAAACTGAGGGGGCCTGTCTGAAAATGCATCAGCTGATGTGAATGGCAGCAGCTTAGATGTATGAAAAAGGGTAGGTTTGTAGATGCAGAGGGACATCCACTGTATAGGATGGTCCAAAAGGATCAGCTCCCACTGTATCTAAGACCTGCCATGGGCCCATATATCATGGCAACAACTTAGGCGAAATGTTCTCCTCTCGTGACAACTCAGAACTGAGTAGCCACACCTAGTCACATGTGCGAATAGTAGAAGGACGTTTGTGCCTGTTGGCCTGCTGAATCACAACTTTTTGAGCTTTCAACAAGTTGGCATGGGCGCGCTCTATGTCCACACGGTAATGCCTGGTGAACTCTGCAGTTCCAGGTGTCAACGTAGGGGTAGCCTTATCGATGATGTCATCAACAGGCTGTCGTGGCTCACGACCCCAGTGCAACTGGTAGGGTGTAAAGCCTGTGGAGGAGTGTACAAAAGTGTTATACACAAGTTGTGCACGACCTAAATGGAGATCCCAGTCCTGCTGATCTGGACTGATTAAAGAATGCAGCAACTGAAATAAAATTTGTTTCATCACTTTTGCCTGTCCATTGGCTTCAGGACGACGACCAGATGTCATATCCAGTATGGTATGAAGGTAATCCCTGTAGTAGGATTGCCATTCATTTCTGCAAAAACGAGGGTCTCGATCACTGACTATAGAGGTGGGTGGTCCATGATATGTGACCCACCTGTCAGCAAATGTCGCTTGAACGGCTGGAATGCGAGCCTCAACTGGTAAGGGGATGAGCTCTGCGTATTTGGAGAACCGATCCACACATACCATGACCTGACGCATCCCACGAGGAGTAGTCCTACCCAAGTCAATAAAATCAATAGACACTGACTGTGCAGGAGCATCAGGGAAAGGTAGTGGTTTGAGTAGGCCAAGGGGAGGTCGGCGTACCACCTTATTCCTTTGGTATAACTCACAGGTTTCCACATAGCGCAGCATGTCACTCCTCATCTCCTTCCAGAAGAAGCGTTGCGACAGGGCTGCATACGATTTGAGGGCTCCAAAGTGACCACGAACATCATGACACTCTGACATCGGAAATGTTCTTAGCTTGCGGTTCTGGGGAATGCACAGACGTTCCTCACCTCTGCTACAAGTATACAGCAGGTCTGAAACCAGAGTATATCCTGGTTCAGATGCAATCATCCTGGAGATTTCTCACTATAGGCCCAAAATTGCGTCCTGGGGCAGCAATCAGGCAATGGTCTGACAAGTCTTATCTCCAAATGAGTGAGTGAAGGAGATCAGAAAGAGAGCGTCAGGCCTATGAGAAAGGGCATCTGCTACTCGATTGTAGCAGCCCTTCTTGTGTCTCAGTTCAAAGTCAAACATATCAACGAACTAGATATAGCGGGCAAGCTTGTCATTTAGTTCTCCCTGGGACTTCATCCACTATAGGGTGGAGTGATCTGAGAAGATCTTGAAGTGCCTGCCCAGGAGGAAGTGCTTCCAATGCTTGAGCGCTGACACAAGAGCATAAAGCTCTTTCTGATAGGTAGAGTCCTACAACTTCTTTGTTTTGATCTTCTTGCTCATGTATTCGATAGGCTGCAGACCATTCCCATCATCATGTTGAAGTACCGCCCCTACACCATACTGACTAGCATCAGTGGTAAGCACAAAAGGGAAGGTAGGGTCAGGTAACTTCAAAACAGGGGCACGAATCAAGGTCTCCTTGAGACGTGTGAAAGCCTCCTGACATTTTGATGTTCAAAGAAAGGAAGTGTCTTTCTTTGTGAGGTCAGTCAGGGGTGCTGCAATAGAAGATAAGTTCTTAATGAACTTCCTGTAGTAGGATGTAAGACCCAAGAAAGACCGGACATCACGGATGTTAACAGGCTTCGGCCAGTCCTGAACAACAACAACTTTCGTTGCTTCAAAAG